AATGCAATTGGCAGAAATCAAAAACATTGAGAAAAGAAACCATACTGGAGTGGTATTCACATAAAGCTTTGATCCCATAAGGCTAAACTGAAGAGATGCCAAGTTTTGATGTTTCCGCTGCGGACCAAGTGGAAGCTCACTGAATATCGGCGCCCATTGCCTTGGGAGCTGAAACTCCAGAAATTGATGAAGCTCTTCAATTGGGGGTTTGTCTGCAATGATGAAAAAGATGCATTAAAATGCAATAGAATCTCGACGTCTTCGGACCCACATCTGTTAGCACCAGTATGGAAATGCACGTCATGCAGTGATCAAGGACATCCAAAACAACCACAATTTATTCTTGTCAAAGGTGCATTATAGGTTATCGTTATCCAATCTAACACTTCTCTTTTCTTAAAGAAATACAGACACTGTTTTGAAACAAGGGTGACTTCTCATTGATGTAGTAGAAAGGTATCACCAAAAGCTAAACTCCCAATGAGAGTTCAAAAAAGATCACAAATTTGAGCAAATTACAAAGGAATCTGAAGGGTAAATTCCAAAAAGAACCATGGTATTTAGTGAGGTCAAAAACCCCTTCCAGGGTTAAAGATTTCTTATTGAATATTTTCTTAGCTTCCTTTCAATCCATGGCCCAAGAAGGTTTCCTTTATAATATCAACCCAAGAAGCTAGCTTAATCAAAATAAATAAATAAATAATTATACTATTCATATAGACATCAACTATAAACTTGAATTAGTCTCCCCTCAGGCCTCAACAAAAAGAGAGATGGTTTATGGCTTAGGTTTGATGCCTCACTTTGGAGCCTAGTTAATTATCCGTTGTTGTCTATAATTCTTAACCATAGGAGTCTTTTTTTATAATTTCTTTGTACAGGCTCCTTCTATAGTAGATTTTTCTTTCTTCTTTTTCCTTTTTAGTGTCCATTTGTATTTTTGAATTTGTCTTAATAAAGGCTTGGTTTTTCACCATAAAACAGCACGTTGATAAGCCAGTACCATCAATTTGGAATTTGCGAGCAGATGCAGTTTTACTCACATCGCAAATAAAGATTTATTGCATGGCTCAAGAATCCACTTCCTGGAACTCCATTCAACAAAGAAGTAATTGGGATAAAGGACATTGAGATCACGTCTGGCCCCAACTGAACTGTCTGCAACCACTCATGATGAGGGAGGTTGATACTTTCAATTCCACCTCTTCTCTTGAAAATGGTTGCAATATCCTGGAAAGAAAATTGATTTACTATAAAATATGAAAGATGAACTCTAGTATGATCGAGACATAAATTATGCTCAAACATCAAGAACATGGACAAATTCCAGAAACCCTGTCATTGTTGTAAATCCGTTCAGAGTCCATTCCATAAGGTCCAATAGTCTCTGAAAACCTTTTATCTGCCATTTCCTTCAATCTCTTCTGCACTTCAGAAGGTTGAAGAGTAGACGAATGCTGCTGCTTCATATATATTACATCCTTTCCACCCATCTTTAAGCCAACAATAATGTGGGTGCCAAAGGTTTCGATAAACCTAAGACAATCAAGTAGGGATTAATTTCGCTTCCGGATCTCAATAAAGATGAAAAATAAAATTTAATATATATTTTTGCATCAATGTGTCTAGCCAAAGTTGATCCTAACATTTATGATGGCAAATATATGAGCAAATAATCATTCACGACTAATGAGGCCTAAAAAGAAGCTAAATATTAAGAAACCTTTGTAAAAATTGGCTTCTCATTGACAATGGTTAGAAACTGTCGTAGGAGGATCTGAGACTTCTTAGCAGGCCAGCGCTAAACCTTAACTACTAAGGGAAGAGAAGAGAATGCAAAATGCAAAAACTCCCAATTATTTTACTACATAAAGCAGACATACAAAATTAATTATCATGATTCTTTATCTTTTTAGAACACGTCCAAAGAAAGACATCAAAGCATGTTAGAAAGACATCAAAGTATTTTACTCTAAAAACCATCTTGTTCCTCTCAAATCAATTATTCAAGTTGACTATCATTTTTACGAGAGATTATCATATCGATTGCTCAAGAGATTAACAAAGTACAAAAGCACGAACTAAAATCTAATAAGCACGGACATAGACACAGACACGAACATAGCGATACGCAAATGTCTACACGGACACGTCGGAGACACATTATTTTTCGTCTTGAATTGGTTTAGATGGTTTCGCAGTGGTGGCGGTGGTGGCGGCAGTGACAGCAGCAGCAAAGGTTGACGGTGGTAGCGATGGTGGTGAAGGGTTTCTCGTGCTTCTCTTTTTTGTGGGATTCGTGGGAGGCTAGGACTTCTGACTTCTGTTTTATTTTTTAGCATTTCTTCTTTTTTCTTTTCTTTTTTTAAGTTATGCGCTTTTAATTATGGGAATTCTGTTTAGTTTTTAGGACTGGGACAGGCATGTCCCATGCGTGTCTAGAGATGTCCAAAATATAAAATAAATAAATAATTAAGACATGTAAACTGGCGTGTCCAACATAGACACTCGGCCTAAAATGGATTGTCCATGCTTCCTAGACTAAAATGAATATAACACAAAGCTTCTTATAGAAAAATAACTGGTTCCATATCTTGTAAAAGAAAATATACCTTGCTAGTGCAGCAGGGTCCCAAGATGATGGCACAGCTTTCCTCACAAGATCGCAGAGTACCATCTGTGATTTTTCCAAAGCAACTGTGTACAGTGTAATGAAGACCCCATCGAAGGCTAGATTCTTAGTATTCGATGCATCTTTCTGCCAACATCCTGAAAACTCGAACATGGTGTTGAAGTGACCTGAAGGAATTTTGCCAGTCAAAGTCATCTCCTGATTGAACTGCTCTGACATCTGCATTTTATGCTAGATGATTAGCAGACATTGGGAAAACACAAAAGCATATAGAAGTATGGTGAAGCAGAATTGCAACCATATTTGATAACAATTTAACATTGAAAGATGGGATCATAAAGAAATATCAAGCAGCAATAAGGAAACTTAGAAAATTAGTTTCTTGAATACATGGTTTGTTGATGAATTGCTCCAAGAACATGCACAAGTAAAATGGTAATGAAATATCACGTTTTATATTCCCATATTATGGGTTCAAAACCTGGAAGTAGTACAACAAAGAATTCAATAAATATTCGGGGACTAACTCAGTTTAGAGTCTCTTCAATACTCTATCCGGAATTACCTCAAACTTGAATTTTCAGATAGAGAATAATTTAAGCATTTCGTTTCTTTTCCAGGCCTCAAGAGTTTCAGGGTAAAGACTAAAGAAGAATTTAAGGTTATTTAGTTTCTAGATTTCCTTTAATCCCAAATAATAAGCATGCATGTACACGTTCCCGTACCCTCTAATCATCGCACATGAAGATTCTTATTGTCCTTATAAACTTTATTACTGTAGTTAAATCTGAGCATATGCTTTTACACAAAACAAATCTTCTAGCCTCAAAATAAAGAGCAATACCTGCTGGAAAGAGAGAACATCAGACCTGAACCTTGTCCGCTCCCCCTTGTCACACTTGATTGATTTGGGCACATTTGGGATTGAAATCCCACCCGGAAGAACAATCTCATGGCCCACATCTTCATCAATTTCTATCAACCGAGACCTATGCAAATCCCATTTACAGTACTTGAGTCTTAGATCTGCCGTTATGTCGTATCCACGACCAATAGACGCAATGGCTATCTCGGCCGCCTTAGAAGCAGGAAAATTAAGCGCCATAACTCAAGCACATCACTCTTCAGTCTTCACCTCGACCAGATAAACACTACACTGTAGCATCAAATACAAACACAATAAATACCAAGCTGAAATTAACTACAATTCGTACGTCTTACATACGGGGCGGAGAACATATCAAGCTCAAACGAATAAGCTAGATCCAAATCTCTATAAACACTTCACTAAATCGAATCCCAAGTCAAATCCCAGCAGAAAACATTGACCCAAATACAATTCATGCAACTCAACCCATCATTACCGAATCCAAAACTCCAGCGGGGTAGCAATTAAATTTCAGTCAACATCGTCAACACACTTCAGCATAGAGTAACAAAGTCTGATCCCAAAAAATGGGCCAACAAGAGCTCAAATTCCCGAGAAAATAAAAGAAAACACAACAGTAAGGTCGAGACCAGATTCTAATTAAGCAGAAATGCAGTACAAACCAAGCTGGTCAAACAGAAAACTCCGAAAAAACCAACAGCCAGTATCCCAATGCTTACATTGACGAACCTCGAATTGAAGACTGAAATTCCAGAGCGAGTTTAGAGAGACGAAAGCCCAAATTGAGAGGGAGAGATCGAGAAGAAAAGAGGAGTAAAGTGCGAGCCCTAGAAACGAAGAAATATCAAATATGGTGTTCTGTCAGACGAAAAAAAGAATGGAAAAAGTAAAAATAAAAATAAAAATAATTCTTCTTTGGAGGGTTTGACCAAAGTGATTTCATTGACACGTGAGACAGAATCATGTAAACGTCAAACTTCCAGTTTTTTCAAATTGGGTAATGCTAACTTCACTGCCTGTGACCGTGATGTACATGGAGGAAAAATTCATCCACGATGAAAACAAATATATACAGTATCTAAATTTTCAATGTACGTAATAAATACTTGAATTATTATTTTTTTATCGAATGGGTATATCGATTTTAAATTTCTAATCAATCTCTGATTAATGAGACACTTTCTTTTTTAGTAAATTAATGAGACATTTTTAAACTTTAATAAGCTATTAAATGCATAATTGATAGTTTAAGAATATTTTAGGTATTTTTAAAATTTAGAGACCTAATATATATTTTAAGAGATTTATTCTTGTTCGGTTAAATATATTTATAACTGAAATATATTTAACTATACAACTGCAGATCTCTTAATAATATAAACACAATATTAAAAATTTAAGGATATATTTGACACTTCTTTTAAATTACGAGAGAGTTATAAGTATTTTAACTATTTACTTATATCTGTCACATTTTCTTTCTTTTGATATATAGAATTTGAGCGTGCTTAGTAATGAGATAAATCCAACTCTTTTATTTATAGGGTGATGCATCAATGCTAAGTTACTGTAAAGCTGGTCAAAATAGTCTAGATGGATTGAAATCTGATTGAGATAAAATATTGTTACGAAACGGACCATTTTTAATGTAAGATGATCAAGATTGATTGATGAGTTACCTTTTTCATGAAATAGGTGTGAAATTAAAAAAAAAAATATTGTATCGAAGAATTTAAGACTTCTCAGAAGAAGTAGATGTGTCTTAAGTATCATACAAATAACAATAATTAATGGCGCCTTGAATAATTGATTTGATACACGATATTATTACCGTCTCGTATCTATATACATGATAATGATTTCGACCCTATAAATATAGGGGTGAATATGTCATTTTACTTTAAAAATCAAATTATTTGAAGATCATTTTAATCGACCTCTAAAAAGGATGGTGCTTTTACCTTTCCATGTGCCACTTTCCAATTTGATGAATTTAAAAAAAAAAAATAGTTTAAGACAAATTGCAAATAATAATACTCCAATGAAGATGGATGGATTTTTTTTTTTGGTCAATTATACGGTTAATTTGTTAAACATCAGGAGTTATCCTTAAATCTCTCAACTTTTTTTGTTAGAGAAATTTGTAAAATTTCTTATAATATGAACTTTAAAATGTTGGTTGAAAAATGTATTTTTTATCCCTATCCTTGAAATTATTTAATTGGGAAAATAAATTTCTTCTAAATAACCATAGACTAGAAAAGAAATCGTCTATTTTTTAGGTACAACCAAATTCTACCATTGACTTAATTTCCAATAGGGCTCACTAGGCAATATTAGGAATCTTTATTTGAATGTACGGTCGAATATAGAGATAATAGAACTTTTTTTTTGGTCTAGAAGCTTAAAATATGTAAATAAAAATAGATGTAGTAAAAACACGGCACAGAAAAAGACATGGATAATAAACTAAAAATAATAATGAGGATAATAATAGAGATCTTATCTACTATATAAGTTATACTCGAATTCACATAAAAACTAAATCGATCCTTACTTCAGTCACTCGCACTTGCACTACTCTATTACTCTAAGAGATAGAGAACGATGGTTATGATTTCATGACAATTTTTAATGTCACCGACGCTGTCTCATTATTCGATTTCAATAGCATAATTGAGTAGAGACTTGATTGAAAAGTGAAATATTAAAAATAATTTATAAATCAAAACATAAAGAGAGAACTTTTAAAATTTATACAAATTTCAAGGGCAAAATGTTACTTTTGCTTAATTAATTTAACTTTATTGTCCTTTTTTTTCAACTTTCTTTGAAAATAATCTTAATTAGATTTGATCATCCAAAATCAATCACATGTTTTGAAGTTGGCAAGAAATATAAATTAATTTATTTCATATGAATTTATATTTATTATACCCACCAACATGAACTAACTCAGCGGTGATTGACACATCTCTCTAACTTAGAGATTATAAGTTCGATTTTTCCTACCATATTTATTCTTTATTTGCTGTACTAAATAAATATATATATATATATATGTGTGTGTGGAAAAAAACCACTGTTGTTACGTAAAATATCATAAAAACAGTGATTAAAAAATAATAATAAAAGGTCAATAAGTGAACTGGTTAAAGACCAATAAATTAGTGGTGGTTATAATCATATAATTTTAAGAACATTTATATTTGTAATTATCTTTTTAAAATACCCCACTTGGTAAAGGAAAACATCCTTTTGATTATTATTTATCATTATTTTAACTTTTATAGAATTTCATTATGTATATACTGTGGAAAATTTTTGTTTAGAAAAAAAAAAAATTTTTCACGATATCTTGATTGAAAATATATGACAATTACTGTATATTCAACAATTTGACAAATTAAGTATGAATTTTTATCGTATAAAGTTTCAAACTTTTTTTTAATTACGTTGTCTCTTTGTCCTCGCAAAAAAAGGAAAAAAAAATATTGAATTAGTATTTACGTTTTTCAATAATTATTATTCCCGGCCGGAATCTCTCTGAGTAGAAAAATCAACAATTTTAATAATAACAATAATAAATATATAAACGTCAATTGACCCGTTTTTGCCCTTTTGGAATAGCAATTTTCAATCCTATGATTAAGTTTTGTGTTTGTTAAAAAAAAAAAAATACTAATAAATATATTATTTGTTATTTCTTTATATATATATATATATATATATATATATATATTGTGTTTTTTTTTCCAACAAATATGAGTACGGATGATTAATCCTCGACCTTGAGGTGCCTTAACTACTTAACTCATGTTGGCACATATTTTGTGTTAAGTTGGATCATATTATTTAAAAAATTTCACCCTTTTATTTTTTTATGAACGCATGTTGTTGCACTAAAGTTGTTTTTTTTTTTTAACTTTCAATCTAATTAGTACTCTATCTATCACTAGATCTCATGTCACTAAAATATTTTTTTAGTTTAACAACTGACTATCGATCTTTGAGATAGTAATAATAGGTTTTTTATCCATTAAGTTTTGCTTGAATGGATCACTAAAACTAAATATTAGTTCACGATAATTCACGAAAATTCATCCATCACATTAGCTTACAGTTCACCGTATCAGAATTTTGTGACCCTAATTAACAAACCATGTGGAATGGTCAAATGATACACTATTTTATTTTTATTATTTTAAAAATAATTTGCTTCAACTTGTTTTTAATTACATTCAACCATATTCTTCTTTTTAAAAAAGAATCACATGATCTCTCTCTCATGTTTTATGGGTTTATTTTATGCAATAATGCAAACATAGAGAAGAATATTATATACATGGGCAAATTTTGGAGCACAAAGCTTGGCACAATATTAGGAGCCAAGAAATTGGAAAACACATGCTAAAGTCACATGTCTTTCACATAGCCCATTTTGATCCATTTGGAACCACACATTCATCCAATAGAACCAAAATTTCATATTAAAAAGAGTTGTTTGACCATCATGCCAAAGTTTGAAAGTTTTTTGTGATTCCTTTCATATTTAGAGATAAGTTTCATTTTATATTCTCCTTCACATAGTTACGTTTTCCTAGCACTTATATTTTCTTGATACAAACAAATTCCAATTCGTCAAATTAAAAGTTAGATTGTACACTACCTTCCTAGTCTTTCTAACCTATAGTGCTCGACAGGAGATGTCAGAACTATGTGAGCAAACTTTGAATAATGAAATCTTTCGGAGATTCTCATCCATTTGATCTATGCCTAGTTCGAACACATGATTATCATGTGTGATAACCATGAAAACACATTGCCTAGTCCACCGAGCCATTCAAGTTTCACTAGTATATTCATTATAGTTCCATTGGGTCTTCTGGATTGAATGTCGTCTACGTGTTTTCGTTGACATTATGTTGCAAACTCACATTACCTCAACTCAACCAAATCTTGAGCACAACCGTTATTTTGCACACTCTTTTGAATGATTAAGAAAATTCTTGACTTGTGTTAAATTAGTCATTCATGTCCTTAAGGTTTTCCACCCGATTGATTGGGTTAGTACTTAGTATATCATCTTCTTGCTTAAGTAAGACAATATATGACACTTACATTACACACTAATTTCTTAAGCATTTATCTACCACATTACACGATGATATAATTGTGGAAGTTTCTTAATTGACGTCAATAGTAGACTTTCAGTCATCTATATCAACCACTCTAAGAAAGAAATTTTATATTTTCAGAAAGGCCATTTTTTAAATATTAACTTAAATTAAAAAAACAAAAATAAGTTTTCTCCAAATTACTCGTGAATTTTTAAAAATGGACTATAATTTCAATAAATTAAAAAAAAAAACTAAAGAATAAAATCATTATGAAGTGAAAGTATTAATCTAACAAGTTGACTTTCAAGCTAATCTCAATCATCAACACCACAATCCCTCCTTCACAATTAATACTCATATCACATCAAATGAAATAAAATAAAAAGAAATTTCCAAAATTCACTCATTAATTTTTATGGTCCAAAACCACCCAACAAACTTTTCTCAAAAAAAAAGGAAAAGAAAAAGAAAAAACCAACCTTTTCCAATACTGTCAACTTTTCATCCTAGTTTTTCAAAATTATTGTATTCCAAATGTCCATTTCAATTCAACAACCCACATGCCATAGACTATTTCATCTCCTAAAACTTTTTGAAAACAAATAAATTAATTAATTCAACACCATCAAATCAATGGCAATTAGGATCAAATTTCTGGAAGATCCTAGTATGTATGCTCGACTTCAGTTGCCGATCATATTTTTAATCATTTTACTAAGTAATGAGAAAATAACGTCTTATTTAACCAATTCCAGAAAAATATTTGAAATTGTGTATACAACTAAAATAAGCTCGTACTTTTCTAAAATGAAATAATTATAAAACGGAACTTTAATTTCATATGGCAAAAAAGTGTAATTATCTTAGAAAAAAAAACAAAAAGAAATTATACCTTCAAAGGGTAAATTTCATACCTGTTAAAAAAATAAAAGGAAATAAATATGCATTTTCAAATATAGCATAAAATTTGAAGTTTTTTTTTTTTAAAGAAAAACTTAATCTAAATCAATTTCAAATGTGACGTAAAATACACTTAAAAAAACAACACTTATATTTTATTTGCCAAAAAAACAACACTTATATTTTATTTGCCAATATTAGCATAGCTTAGAGGTTCGATTATTATATTCCTAAATTGTTGTACTAAAAAACACTTATATTTTATTTGAAAAAATGAAAATTTGTATATTTTTTCAAATATATATTAAATTTATGATATGAAATGAAAACAAAAATAGTTACCTTTGTCAGATAATTTGTATTCATATATATATTTTACAATATTACACCACAAATTACAATAACAAGTAGGTTAGCTCGAGTAAATCGACGACCAAAACTGACACCAAATGAGAGGTAAAACATATTTAAACAACATTTTTAATTAATATTTATTATTATTATTAGTATTTTGCAAAGGTTTTTCAATTATTGAGTTGATATTATTTATTGGTAATGTGATAATGATTTAATTTCCATTATCTTCTCCAAAATGTATGGTAGCTAGATTCAAGCTTCAATCCCTGCCATTTTCAGAGGAAATTTGAAAGAAAAATTTACAGGCGCCATTTTAATCTCTCTGATTTTTTGTCGCGTCCTTTGATTTTTCTTCTTAAATTTCCAACCATTTCTCACCATTTTCCGCCAATCCCCAAACCAAGAGAGAGGGAATTTCAAAAAACAAACGAAAAAAATGGCCGATGGCTACTCCAAAATCAAAGCCGCCTGCAAATTCAAGTCCAGATCCATAGATTATTCCGATCTCGCATCGCTCCCTCACTCCCTCAAATTCACCGCCGCCGTCCCCAATCCGAACTCCCTCGCTCACGAATCCGATCAGAACAGAGCCAATCGGGCGCGGGCGCAGAGCTGCTTGCCGGAGGAGGAGGAAGACGAATACGGCGGCGGCGGAGGCGTCGCCGTCGCCGCGCTGAGTCGGAACAGCTCTGTTTCTTCTTCCGCATCCGGACTCCATTCGGCGGTGAAGAGAGCTCTGTCGATGCGGAGATCTTCGTCTGTGGCGGAGCGGTACTGTAGGATTCACGATCAGTTCGCGACGCTTGCATCGCCGATTGACGATGAGGAAATTGGAGCGGGAGATTCCAAAGAAAGTCGAAAATCGGCAGGATCTGTGAGGAGGAAGAAGAAGAACGCGGCGGGGAAGATCGTTAGAGCCTGTAAGCGGCTGTTTGGACTGTAGCTTCGATGAGCATTTTTGAACAAATCGGTAAAGTATATTTTGCTCTTTTTGTCGCAGACGAAGAACTCTCTCTCTCTCTCTCCTTCTTCTTCTTCTTCTTCTTCTTCTTCTTTGTCTTCTGGTTTCTTTTTTTGAAAATTTTCTTCTCAATGTTCTGCGCTGAGGAATGAGAATGTGTGTTTGATTGTGGCTGTGGTTAATGGAGATTTGAGAGTAATGGCGAAGCAATATCAGTTTGAATTTGAGGATCGAAGTTCCATTAGATGTCTTCTTTCTTCTGAATTTTTTTCTGTTGATTTGCAGAGTGAAATCGTAGTTGGATCAGTCTGCCAACGTCTGTCATCACTTTTTCACATTCATCTCTCTCTCTCGAAAACGGAAATACTTTGGTGAGGTTACGATCATCCTCAAATCTTAGCTATTTTGTCAAATATTTAATCGCGATAGAAATAAGATTGATCCTTATTACTGTCAAGGAGGAAGAATTTTTCATAATCTTTATAATAAAATAAAAAGAGAAATGCTTGAAAATATTTTTTTTATATATTTTATCATTTTTAGAGTCTGAAAGAATAAATAGTTTTCGAATTTTAATGTTGATAGGTAAGAGATGAGCTAGATCTAGGAAGACATTTTTATTGAATCATCACGATTGAGTTTCTACACTCGCCCTCGAATATTGAAGTAAGAAAACAATAATTATAACGGCAGTCTCACGACGTGCTTGATTGATAAATTTATCGTTTCTACGACTTATCCTCTTGTGAGATTGCTCCTTTCTACTAACTGATCGATATTTAAGATTGTTCGTGAGAGAAATCCGACTTCTTTTTACTCCCAACAATTACTTTTATCTCATTTTAATTTTATTAGATTAAATATTGAACTTTAAAGTCCTGGTTATAATTCATGGTCTCAAATTTTAATTAAAAAAATTGTAGTGAACTATATAATAATTCTTACCATAAAAAATAAAAAAATAAAAACTCTCTCTTTAACATGATTAGAATAACCAATATAAAAAAAATAATAATAATCTAGCCCAATTATAAAAAACGCTCATATTTAGTCCCTTTTTTTTAAGTAATAGTTGGTTTGACAATCATTTTATTTTTTTATTTTTTATTGAAAATTAAGTTTATGGACACGATTTTCATGTATATGTTTTAATGTTTTGTTATTTACTTTTTTTAAAAACATGCTTTTGAATGTTATACTCAATGGAAATTTTTTTTTTTTGAATTTTCAAAACTAAAAAATGTAATTCTTAAAAATTTATTTTGGAATTGATTGTAGAACTCAGTTAAAAGTTGATCTAACTTTTCTCAATTTTCATTGAAAATATTCAGATATTTATCCGTCCTCACCCGTAGAAAAAATGACAAATCATTATTTTAAAAACATATCTATTTTTATATTTTTCTCTCTTAATTGTCAAACATTTAATAATAGTAAGTATAAGATGATCTTCACCAAACAACTAAATATTTTTCTTATTTTAACATTAGGTTGCGGCCATTATTTTTTTGTTACATTTTAAAATCATAAACTCACAAACATTAATCCAAATTTCTTTAACACACATTATTTCATACCAACTAGGCTCTTCTCAAATTAAAACTTTATTAAAATGTTTAACAACGACGAAAAAAATATATTTGAAAGGAACCTATCTACCTTTTTTTTTTAATATAGTACGTGGGATAGTACGTAGCGGTGGGGGATGGAACTCACAGCTTCTTAATTGGAGATATATTCCAATTACCGTCGAACTACGCTCGCTTTGAAAGGAACATATATATCATTTTCTCCTCCTCAATAGGCATGTTAAGATCGGTGTGTAATTAGGGAGCAAGCTGCTTAGGAGCCTTTTGTTCTTTCAACCCAACCTTTTCTTCTTTTTTGAAATCTAAAAAAATTAATATATTGGTGTAAAATTATCTATCATTTTCATATGTTTAATGGATATAGGGCATGAACAATCATGCAAAGATATAATATTAATTTTTTTTATAGAAACTAATAAGGTCAGCTCAAGGTCTATTGCTTTTTGGGTTCATCATTATCAACTTAGAGAAGATCTATTCAAAAATAAAATATAAAATATAAAATAAAATAAAAAACTTAGAGAAGATTGTACGTGTGACAAATTGATTGAATCGTTTTTATTTTGTAAAATCATCTTTCAAATTTATCAAATATTTGCAAATATGTAATTTTTCTAAATGCAATTAGAAATAAATTTTGCAAATATAGTATTCCTTTTAATTCACAACATATTTTAATGCATTCACCCTAAAGTTTGACAACTACCACCCTTGAAATTATTTTTTGGGACAATTATTATATATTAGTGGATTATAGTTATAGTAATTCACCTAGATATTACTGACAAGCATCGATAATAATCACTAATTAACTTAATTATATCATCGACCAAAATATTGAAAGTTCAAATATTTACTCCTACGTATTGTTGAACAAAAAAAAAATTAACCTAGTTATATTGATTAACTACAAACGCAAAAAACACGAATTGATATATGTTATATTGTTTGTACTGCCGCAATTCTTAACATCATAATAGTATTGTAAAAAAAAAACATCATTGTAGTAATTTTTTTTGTTACTTCTAGCATCGTTGTTTGTGTTAATGTTGGATTCTAAATGAGCCAAGAGATTTGCACTGAACTTCTTCTGATCGAGCTATACAGGTGAGCTATGCAAGAAGACCTCTACTTAGACGCTCAAGTTAGTCTAAAGTTCGAGCTAAACAAATCAGTTCCAAATAGAACACATACCTATGTATGGGAGCTAGTTAGTATGTATTTAGAGGAGTCGAAGAAGAGACCCTTCTATTATAGCCGTTATAGATATTATTACATGATTTTAAATGATTTCGTCTTATATATAGCTCGATCTTCATGCTTAGAGAAGCATTACGGGGCTACCTGAGCTGTATAGATTGATGTGCTTCATAAAAGTAGACAATATGTCATAGGCCAAACTATGTAGTTCGATTATTAGTAAGCAAGCTGTAGATATGAACCTACAGGATATGATTGTCCATTCTCATTGGTCCACGTGGTAGACTATAATTTACCCTCCAATAGTTTGGTAAGTGAATTTGAACAATTTCTTACAACAAAAACACGATGGAAAAATCAACACATAAATAATTAAATTAAAGCATTTAAAATATTTAAAACAAAATAAAAAATGGCATAATCCATTGCAACTGAATTACATATTTAGTATATATTCTACCATTTGTCCAACTACGATCTACTGTAACTCAACTAGTCAAGCCTTTTTTTAGTACCAACTAGTTAAGTCATAGATTTGAATTACCGCGGCTTTGTTTTAACTAAAAAAAGAACAATTTAGTTTAAGCTCTAAAAAAACTATCATTTATCTAAACAAATAAATGGATAATTATTTTTTTAAATAATAAACGGATAAAATTTCATTGAGGCTAAATTCGTAATTTCACTGGGAGGGAGAGGGAGGGGTGTTTATAAATGATCGGTGGACATGAAAAGAAACAAAATTCTCAATAACAAAATAAATAGAAGAAGAAGAATTAGAGAGAGAGCTTTCAAAATTCAATCTCTTTAGTTTTTTTTGACATTTTCAGTTGAATTTTGATTATCATTTATCCATTTTTGGATTGAGTTTGTTTCCTCAAAATTCTCCATTTTCTCGCTTCTTCTTCTCCTCCTCCATTTTTCCATTTTGGCGGAGTTCGTGAACAATCAATCGATTCCGTCTTCGAATTTTCCATTTGACTTCCGTAATACTTCTGTGATTTCACTCACAGATTCCTTCAGATTCAAGCAACCGCCCATTGTTGTTGGTTGATTTTGCGGGGACTCATTCGAGCGACTTGGTTGAGGCCGAGACGAATTATGGCGTGCGAAGGCAGCGGCAATGGAGGAGATGAGACGTCGACATTGTCGCCTAGAAA